GATTGTTAAATATCGTGGAATAAAAGAAAAGTATTTTTTATTTGAAAAGACGTTATTTAATGACTTAAATTTCGATTTGTTATAAAATAAGACTACAACCAATAAAAATGTTTCCTTTAATAAAACAAATAGTTTTTTCATTTTGATAAAAAAATCATACCTAATGGAGTAGATATTTTATTATAGTTTAGATATGAGAATTAGACTACGAAAGATATTAGACATTTTGTCAATATTTCAGATAATTTGTCAAATTCAGTATTGCAGTAGACCATCGCATAACAACACATAAGATTTACCATTTTACAATATAGTTCGTTTAACAACCGCAGAATATGTTAATATTATGAAAAATTACTACAAAATTGTTGACGATTTTTTACAACGTATTTTTATCAGTTTTTGATTGATAATGTTGACTTGTTGCATATATCAACAAACAAAAATATTGCATTTGACAATCAAGTATCTATTAAAAGAACCAACATTTGTATCTAATTTCTCCTCCTTGCGGTGAAGAGGTTAGAATATGCAGTAGGCATGCCTATCGTAAGAGGTGACTAAAATCTCGGTGCCACGCCGATACTTGTATAAGAAGTGTGCAAGGTAGAAGGTGTTGTCTCAGCCTACGACAACACAGCCTAGTACTACGGAGGTCAGTGGCTCGCAGCTTTGACTGTGCTGACCAGTTGAGGTTGCACACGTAGTGGGTATGGTTAAAACCCAAACTTACGCGGGGAGAATGTTATGCATTCGGCATGGAGTTGCATATTCTCTACCGTTTACTAAGACTTAAAGATCAGCAGAGGTTTAGATGGGCCTCTCATCAAACCAAGGTGTAAGTTATATCTTCCGATGGGGCGTTCATCGCCGCAATATACCGATGCGTGTGTGAAGAACACCGTAATATTAAGCCTACACGGCAGAAAATCACGTTAAATAATTCTGGATTTGTATCTAATCGCAAGGTGTAAACAATATAGTGGAGCAATAATTGAAATCTCAATCACAAGTTTGCGTTATTCAAGCTTACTTTCGGAACTTCGGGTAGCTCTGTGTATGCTATATTTTAAAATAATTTATTTTAATTACTAACTATTTTTTTGTTAGTATTTATTCTACTTTTTTTTTAAACATCATATAAAGAATAATAAAACATTGCACAATTACTAAGTAAAATTAAATTTAAAGAAAAAAACAAACTAATAAAAATATATTACAAAAAGTGAAGTGAACTGTAAAAGTGAATAAAATTAACAGTTTAAAGTATCTTTTTCCTTATTGAGGTCATATTTCAATTATAATCAAACAAAGGCTATAAACAAATAATTACTTATAATTTTATTAACTTCATTAAATACGAAGCACACAATTGTTTGACGCAAGAGTCATACATAATAAAATAATTGCGATTGCAATTGGGTTGCCACATTTTTGAACTGCAAACTTTGAATAAAAATAGTAAAAGTACAACAATAACAAAGCGAACTATGTTAACTCAATTAATTAAATATTCACAGTACTTAAGTAGATTGACAAATTCATTTACAGTTAATTTTTTGAGATACTTTATTCAAAGATAGACTTTGAATAGACTATAGATAGTATAGAGCACAAGTACTGCTCTAATAGAAATCACATAATTATAGCTAAAATAATACTTAAAATAAAAAACATTGTAGTTCCCAAAATAATAGCAATATTTTAATCTCAAGGAAAACGTAGCAGTAATCAAGCATTTTTTTAAATCTATTTATATTTAAAGTTAATTTTGAGGAGAAAAAAAACAGTTGCTGTACTAAAAGTCAAATGAAACTCACCTTGACAACTGGCGACTGTCAACAGCGCTAAAAACACCAAAAGATACTTGAGCATTCCGAACGTCTGAAACGGTAACAGCTTAACTTGAATTTGGCCTAAAGCAGCCTCGTCAAGTGCGAATTGCCGTTGCCGTTGCCGTTGCCGTTGATTTAATTTCGCAGATACAAAAGGTTTTTGCGGATTTTTCAAAATTTCTCCAACATTAGTTTTGGAATTGCACAGATGCGTTTGGGAAATTTGTTGCATGTTGTTTTTGTAATTGCCGCAATTGCCGTATGTGTGGCTCACGCCAAATGTTGTTGAACTATGGCGAATGTGTTTTTGTTGCTGTTGCTGATAACTGCAACTGCAATTATTTCTATCTTTGCGGTGTTGGCGTTGTCCGAAAACTTTTCCATGCGGCAATTGCTTTGTTGTTGGAAAATGTTGCTGCTGTTGCTGTTGTTGCTGTATCTGCAGTTGCTGTTGATTATGTGAGCAGCATACAATTTGTTCGTGTTGCTGTTGCTGTAGCTGTTGCTGTTGATCTTTTGTGTTTGTGGGGATATGGTTAAGCATTTTTATCTATAATTTCTTTTGAAATCATGTGTGATCGCGCGCTTAATTATTTTATTTTTATTTTTATTTTTTTATATTATTTTCTAATGCAACTATTATACTTTAAATTTTTTATTCACTCTTATTTGATTTTTATTTTGAAGGTTTTGATTTTTTTTTTTTGCACGTTTTTCTTTTTTATTCAAATATTTAATTTTTTGTTTTCCTTTTCGTTGCACACTATACTAAAAACACTATTATATTATTAAATTTTTATTAAAATTTTTTTTTCAAGCACGATAATTTTAAAAATGCACTTTCGAGTTGATTTTATATAATTGAGTTATTATTTTTTATACAATAAAAATCAATTTTCATCTCATAAATTTTTTACAAAGTCAACGTTTTAATAATTTAAAAATTGTTTAAAATAAAATTTAAAAAAATTTTTTTTAAAAAAAACCCATCATTTAAACAACATTTGATTTTTATAAAGCAAATTTTAAATATTCTCTTTTTTTAAAACAGCGATCATTTCACAAAAATATTTGATTTTTATAAAACAATCCGTTATTTTCAAAAAAGTGTAAATTTATATAGCTGTAGTTTATGCGTTGCTCTAAAAATGGCATAACAAAAGTGCTTCTTATTTATGATAGAAAAAGAAAATACTGACACTCAATCGAACGGAGCATTTGTGATCATGATTGCTCCATTTTATTACTTATCAAGCTTCACTGAGCAAAAGACAATGCGTCATTCAAATAAAAATCAAACTGTCAGCTGTTGAGGACATCCTAGTTTTAAGCGAGACAGCCTGCTTCTGTGGGCTTTCTGTGCTGTTTACAATCGTAATACAATTTCAATACTACTACTATACAATAGTAAACTACTGGCTACCAGTGGCGCAGAATTTTGTGTTGCTTATCAATACAACACACTCCATATTTTTAATGAAAGTCAATATATCAGTTGTTAATGACATTCTATCTATGGATATGGATAGGAACTACCGATTTGGAAGTCCCCTCTAGCCCAAATCAAAATTTCTAGTTACATTCTAGGTACAGAGAATGTAGTTACATTCTAGGTACAGAGAGTGTAGTTACATTCTCATTCGCTTTGAAGTAGGGACCATATTCTGTCTCCCCAGACAGATCCATTTTGTTGAGATGATAACAGGAATTGACAAAATGTTAAAAATAGATATTATTTGGCAATATTCGAAGCAACATTATTAAAAACTGAATTTTTGGAAATAAAAATTAAATTTTTGGATATAAAAATTTAGTTATTGGATATAAAAGTTAAACTTTTGGATACAAAAATTAAATTTTTGAAAATGTAAACCAAATTATTTTCTGCTTCCATTTCTACTCTTGTCGTAGTACTTAAAAAATTCGCTAAGAAGACATAAACAAATACTCCTTATATTCCTTCTTGTTTAAATTGTATACAGAACTCTTTACGAAGAGTACAAGGGGTCTTAAGTTAAAAATTCATAACCTAACAGTTAAGAAAATTTATGTAACTGTGGTTTATGCGTTAGGGGTAGAAATACAGTTCTATGTATAATAAAATAATAGTTTTTTAAGAACAACAATTTATTAAATTTAATTTAAGAGCTAAATTATGCAACTGTGATCTGTATATTAATTTTAAAAATAATACGGAAAGTGTATTAAAACAAAAGTGTTCAAATTTGAAAAACAACAATTTATAACAGTTCAGTCAATTTATATAGCTATGGTTTATGCGTTAGTTATAATAATAGTAGAGTAAGTGCAATTAAATAATAACGTTTAAAATTAAAAAAAATAATAGTTTGAAAATTAATAAAATAATTATTTAGAACAGTTATAGACATTTACATAGCTGTGGCTTACACGTCAGTTATAAAAAGGTCAACCCTAGATCAAAAATTAAACTATTAGATTTAAAAATATTAACATTAATACTTTTTTATTAGAATAAGAATTTCTACCATGATATTAAATTAAACCTTGAACTTAAAAAATATTATAATTTTTTAAATATTATAAAATATTAAAAATTTTATCTCAAAAACAATTTATTCAAAGAAAATATTTTACTTACAATTTTATTTAAAAACAAATATATTTACAAAAAAATTAATTTAAATAAAAATTTTATTCTAAGATTAATTTTTTTTAAAAAAAATTTATTTAAAAAAATATCATAAAAATTTTATTTAAAAAAATAAAGAGGTTTTATTTCGAACAGTAGTGAACTACAACAACAAGAATTCATTTTATATTATTTTAATTAATTGAATTTTTGGCTGACCATACAGCTGTTATCAGTATTGCCAAATACCCATCATCAGTAATCTTGGAAATAATTCTTGTATTTAATTATTCGTAAATAATTATTTTTGAGACTGCAAGTACCAGGAATCGAACAGGTAAAAATAAAATAAAAAAATAAATTCCGGAAGAGGATAAATATACCTTTCCTAAATAAATTAAATTTATATCTATTGTCATAGTATTGTATAATTGTTTTCTGTATACCATATATGTACATATATAATTCATATTTAGATGTTAATGTATCTTATAATTGTTTCTTAGTGATATATACTAAAATATTGTTACATTGTATTTAAATTTTATAGTACCCTGATTATGACTATTAATTATAGTCGAAATATGAGTTAAAATAAAATGTTTTAAAAACAAATAAAAAATTTTTTAAAAAGTTTAACTATTGAATAATTAGCCCATAAAAAGACAAAATTATTTTTAAAAAAATTTTATATAAAAAATTTTAAAAAAAATTTAATAAACATAAAAAAGTTTTATTTAAGGAAAAATTATTCAAAAAAAAATTTTTTAAAAAAAAGAAGTTATTTTAAAAAATTTAATTAATCAAAAAAAAATTTTGTGTAAAATAAGTTGTAATTTAAAACAATTAATTAAATATTTTCTTTACAACAATATTAACTTTATTACATAAATTTATAACACAAATCTGCAATTTTGTGTTATTTAAACACATTTCCATGAATAGCTACAAAATATTCTATTATAGTTTATATTATTGTTTATCATATAAAAACTCAATTGTTATGTCTTATCTTCAAAATTTTGTTAACTTAAACTATAATAAAAATTGTTTTAGTTTAACAGAGTCTGTTGAACGCTGTTAAATAATTTTATTCTTTTCCTTGAATTTTATGAACATAGCATAAAAATCGAGTTTGTTGCTTAAGTCTTTCCTCTGTTAGTGTGTATGTGCAGGTTTTATTTGTTCTTCGCGTGAGACAAAACATTAAATAAAAGCGAACTTTAATTAAAAAGTTGTATTTAATTAAATCAAACTAAGTTCAAAATAGTTTGTGCTATTATTAAACAAACAAAATAATTAAGTAACTAAATTCCAACAACAGTTTAGCAACTCCAGAATGTTTTCTAAAAAAAAAAAACGCTGACAATAAAAAGTGAGAAACTTAAAAAAGTCTTAAAATTTTAACACCAACACAAAAATTTATATTTTGCTCAGTTAACAACAGAAATTTTTTGTATTAATTTAAACAAATAAAAACCAATTGGCACTTCGAGAAAAAAAAACAACTTTTTGCTAATCAAATTTATAACAAAAAAACCAAACAAAAAACCAGAAATGAATCTAAATTTCAATCTAAAAACAGCGCCTGTCTTCAGCGCCTTGCTTTCGATTATTTAGAAAGACAAAAAAACCAACCGAAGTGCAAAACAAAATCACTTTTAGCCACAAAGAAAAACAAAATCAATCTTTTGTATTCAATTAAAATCCTTTCTCTTTACTGCACACAACAACTGTTACTACCGCTCATGTGCCGCATTGGCTACTGGCTGACCTCGCTTCGGATTGCGCATATTTCGCAATTGAAATTCGCTTCAGTATTGAAATTTATTGGGAAAAAATTTTAATTTTAAATAAATTTTAAATTTTATTTTCAATAATTTTCTATATTCTATATAATTGTCAAGTCTCGAAAGTGCATTAAAAGCCTTTCTTCTTCTTTACCGCTTCTGCCAACACGACTGTGCGAAAACACTTAGCACTTTTGTGCGAATTAGCGATATTGCGGATTTTCGAATTTTATAGTTTTGGCCCGTTTTTCACACTCACCGACGTACGTACGCGCTCAGTGCTCTTACCACGAATACGTTAAATGCCGTACTAAATTCTATGAACAAAATCTTTAATATTTTCCACCGATCGTTTCGTACCGTTTCGTTTCATTCTCTCCGATAAGCGCACAACTCGAGCATGTCAACGCGGAATGAAAGTTGACTCGTAACTGGTTTGGTTTTGTGGGTATGCGCATGCGGATACCCTCTCAACGAGTGCGCTTATGCCGCCGCTGCGCAATCACAATAAAGTTTTCGTCTGTTTCAAAAGCTCCCTGCACTTCGCACCCGTCTTCGTGTGTAGAAATATTTTGCCCGCATTACTGCCAGCTGAATTGGTAACTGCAATCGTTGTATTGTTATTCTTCGTTTTGTTGTTGTGTTTTTTTCTTTTTTTTTTGTTTGGCTTGTGAAGTCTGTTGTCTGTGGCTCAGATATTCAAAATGTCACAGTTTCCCAGAGTATTTGCAATTGCTTTTGTACTCTGAACAGGGTTGCCAACTTATGAAGAACATTCAAGCCATTATAAATTTATATCTTTCATTATTAATGTAACATTTGCTGTATGGGAAGACTTCCCAGAACTTAGACAAAGAAAAGCACTGATAATACCCTACTCCTACAAAGTCATCCCTAAATGCTCAAAATGTGATTTAAGGTTGTTAACGACTTTCATTACTGGTCATTATGGTCTGAAATATCACCTTCATAAACTACTATTATCTGCTAATTCGGAATGCAGAGCATGCCTCGAGGATGAGAAAAGTATCATGCATATTCTTTGTGACTGTCCAGCTTTAATAACGCTCAGAAGAAACTTGTTTCATATGGAACTCTGTCACCAGCACAGATTAAGAACTCTTCTCTAGATTTAATTATGGACTTTATTCACAAAGCTTTAAGGGCCTTTGTGTGATTAATAGTGAAACTGGTACAATAGGACTCTTC